GAACCTGCCTCCCTTGCGCCACCCCACCCCACCCCCCGCGAGCCATCAATAGTGGCTGACTAAATGTGCCGGCGGCGTCAGCGCGCTCGCTTGTCTCGCATCGGAAGGAGATTTATATTCATTTACGCCGTAAAACCGGCGCCGTTCACCTTTGGCGATATTATTGGGGCGTGTTATCGGGAGTGCCTTCATAATCAACGGCGCCCGCGATGCGCCCTCGCCTGTAGCGCGCGGCCTGGCCACGCGGTGTCCCCGACCCTGCGCGGGCGTGCGGCGCAATTTCGGGCTAAAATACACAGCTACTTGGGGGGGGGGGAGTGTGGCGAATTTTCTTTGCAACGTCGGGCAAGCGCAATTCTACTCTGATAAGTTACGCCTACGTAATGAACGCAACCCTGCAAAGTACATCAAGAGGTGGAGAATAGTAAACTTTAATCAAAAGAGATCGTAATCCTATTCGATCAGCCGTCGTTCGCCTTTCTATATTTATTGTGTGGTGTTCGAAGGGGTTTAATTTTTTCTTTCTCGGCTATCGGAGTGGGAGAATGATATGTAAATTCTGCCGTAAAAAAGGCGAATTTGACATAAAAAACTTAATGGCCTGGGCCCCTGGTAGCGGAAAACGTGGCTTAATTACAGTGGCTAACTCATAAAAAATCCTTCGTCAACTGTGTTGTAGCCAGGATTTCAAGTTCTGTGGGTTCCTCTCTGATATATCGATTGACGGCTAGCTGGTAAGACCCTTTAGCAGTTATTCACCGAAACTGATATTCCTCTAACCGATCTGGTTTCACTGGCCGCGACTCCTTCCTTTATTTTTTAACCGGTTTATACTTTAGTGATTTTTTTGAGGGGTATCTTACTAAGACTTACGTTACACGAAGCCTCAGGACATTTCCGACTTTAAAAAAAAAGTGAGGTTCCTGGCTTGCCGAACAAGCTGGTAATAATTGTTGCAGGGCTATTGTAGTAAATTGGTTTTCCTCTAATACGTGTCATTGTCGCAATCTAAGGTTTGTGTCGTCGTTGATCCCAAATTTGATTTACAGTGAAAAAAATATCCATATGTCCGCCCCTACCGTCTGTCCCCCTCCATCTGTCCACCCCTCCATCTGTCTGCCGCCTCCATGCTGTCACACTCTCTCCATCCTGTCCGACCCTCCCATCTGTCCGCCTCCTGCCATCTTTCGTCCCTCTGTCGTGGTCGCGTCCGTCCATTACTGTCTTTCAGTTGTTTTACCCGTTTGTTCTCTCTCTGTCGTTCGTCTCCGTTGCCTGTCGTCTGTCTGTCCGTCGTCGTTTCTCCGTTCTTTCCCGTCTGTCCCCCAACACCAGTCAGGGTGAGTGAGATAGTCTAGCTTACTAAGTCTCTGAACCCCAGGCGAAGGATATCGATCCGCGGTTGAGGTGCGCCGGAGTTTTGGGGGAAAATTTCACAGTTAGTTCAGTCACACTTGGGAACGTAAAAGAACCTGCGACCGGGGTTATGCCCGGCACCACTTCAATGGCTGCCCGGGGCACAACAGCCGGGTTTATAACGCGATTCTCACTTTTCAAACAACACCAAGACAGCTCGGGACCGGACATTTGGCGAAGACGTTGAGTGCCAAAATACCAGGCGTATTTAGCCGAACGGAGCGCCCAGAGAGGTGGGCAGGCCTGCTTGATAAAGCTCCCAGACCGCGGTCTTGGAAGGTAGGTTTCGGCAAGAAAACCTGGGGTCGAAAAACTCGGGGTTGTAGATACGAACAGGCATAAAGCAGTCACTCCCACAAAATAGTCGCCAACATACGTAAATACTCAGCGTCTAAAAACCGTTCAGGGCATTTTTCTCCAAAACTGAGTCTGCTTGCCGGAAGATTTTGCCGAACTGAATGCGCTGAACATATATTGTAAAAAAGGAAATATTTGTTGAGAGTACTGCACCCTGGAATATGTCCTCAACCAAAGATTTTCAAATTTTCTCATAAAATGTATTCTTTTTTTCTTTACATTTTATGAACGAATTAATGTAAAGGACTCTGATCAAAATATAGGCAGAAGGCATCCCGTTTTCGGTTAAAATCTTTTTGGGAATGCAAAACCAAATTAACATTTTTTTGGGTGTCTACTACTATAATGTTTTTGAACGATAATTATTTCTGCGATTGAAATGCTGTTCCTTTAAAATTACATATTTAAAGAAAGTCACGTAATTTGTTTTGAAAATATGAGAAGTTTTGGTAATTCATTTTGTCTGGAAAAAAAGTCAAATTTAAACAAAAAATTTCTCAAAAACGGCTTCAATTTTTATCTTTCAATTTTTTCGAGTTAAAACACCAGGGTAGCATGTTTATAAAATAGTGCAAGTTTTCATTATCATTTGAATTTTCGGTGCATTTTCATAAATTTACTCAAAAAGTTAAATTTTTTCAGGCGTTTTATTATAGAGATATAGATTATTCAAAAAAGGGGAGGATCTTTAATTGAAATCTTTCCTTCAAAATTAATTTTTTTTTTAAATAATAAAAAATCATTTGAAAATTTGACATTTCGTGTACTTTATCTTTTTACATATCATGGCGGGAAGAAATGTTTTGGTGGGATGTGTAACACTAGTTATTTTCAATTTAATTAAAAGTTAGTATTAATATTTTCATCCTTTGTTTAAGAGATCTGATTCGTGCTTATTCCCCAAGGTCACCTGCCGGAAACTACCCAGAATCTGGTGCAATAAGAAAACGCCTCTGATACTATCATAGAGGAAAGAATGCTTTTCTATAAACAGGTATTGCCAAACTCTGCAGCGAACGGTGGGCACGCGGCAGTTCCGATCCTTGAACAAAGTTCTACCCTAACAGGTTCACAAGTTCTCGGGGCGCGCGTCGCTCGAGGCCTCGAAGCAAGCCAGCGCGAAAACGAATGCGAGAATGGATGAAGTTTTTATCTGTCTGCTACACTAATGAGAATAATGACTACCGCTATGCGACTTGTCCAAAAACAACAATGAATCTGATCAACTGCTTTGTCGAAGAATGGCGTTTTTCTACTGGTTTCGTGGCAATACTTTGTTATGTACTGTGCCACATAAATTTGCACATTATGGCTAAATAGCGGTGCATTAACAAATTTATGCCTAACCTTTTCATATTTATTCCTTGCGTAGTCAACATATTAATGACGCAGCAACGGGGTCATGTATAAAATAGATTCATTTACGTGTTTGGGTTTGTAATGAAAAAACTAGAAAACACTGAAAACTAAGCGGTCCTATGCCTCATGTTCTTTCCGTCGGGTAGTTTAAATACAAACCTGGACATTTTCTGTTTAAAATTTAAGCGAAAAAAATCTGGAATTAAATTTAAAATTGATTGTCCCCTTGCGCTTCAGATAAGAACCTTCAAAATTTTTTAAATAGCATGTGCGTCCAGTCGATGCAACATTGACCCGGGGTTTGTTATTCTCAGCAAGCATGTTCTACAAATACTTCTGACACTGGTAATACTTACAGATTTGATTAACGGACCGGTTCAAGACAGAATTACTATTTCTCTTCTCCAAAACATATTTACAACCATATGTATATTTCGTCATATCTTAAAACTGTTTCGGCCAGCCAAACATTACATTCACTCTATACTCGTACTACTCGCGTACTGCCATTCGTACTGTAATCGTGAGACTGTATAAATACGGAAGTAATATACTTTCATGAAATCAAACTGGTGGGAATATGGTATTCATTTGCTATGACGATCTCCTGGCGGAAAAAAAAAAGTTTGAGGCCATTCCTCTAGAAGAAGAATAAACGCGCCACTTTTTTTGCTAAGGCTAATATAAAGGATATCAGCATATTTGAAACTCTTGAAAACTTATTTTAGTTTGAGACGCAATAAAGAGATCATAGCGACTATAGAACGCTCACCTAAGCAGTGAACACGACACACTTGGTGTGTTCTTTCGACAGCAGCCCTCGCCGTAGAGGAAGCTCGTCAGTCCCGAGGACTCGGACGTTCCTCGCCCTCTGGCCCGGACACTTCTTTCCGGGCGGGCGAAATTAACTTTTTCCTTCCGTCCTGTTAGCCTCCGCGCTTTCATCGAGCAGCGACGGGCAGCAGTTCGGGCCAAGACAAAAGTTTTGTGTGACATAAAAGTAAAAATCATACATCACTGTGTCTTCGCCAGAAGTTCAAAATAATGCTTATCTCGTTTCAGAAATCCGGACTCGCGCAGTTTCTTTGAATGCGAGAAAGTTCCCAGACACATGATTAGCAACGCAGATTTGATAAAATCAATTTATCCAAATGCGGCGCCGCCACTACTCTGGGCGCTGCTTTCGCGACTGGTTTGGCTGAAGCGGGCAGAGCCGGCTTTTACATTACGGTTTTCGGCGCGCCGCTCCCCGCCTTCGCCTTTGCGCTTCGCCCACTCGCCGATTCCGTTTGAACACGGTAGCGGTGGCGGGGCGGGGCGCGGCGCCACGGACAAAGGGATGATACACTCCTCTCGCAGCTTCGTTACAGCACGAGCGCACAATAAGATCGGCAACTGGCTGGTGGAGGAAGACCCTCATCTACTCAAAACAAGGCACCGAGAACAGTATCTAAACGAGATTACCGGAGTTAATTACACGACTCGCACTCGCGATGAGGCGTTCCACAAGTCGCTCTCGGGGCCCTCCGCCGGGAGAATCTCCGCTGGCAGAAGAAGACAGATAGATCGAACGCAGCTGTCTGGGCCACCTATTGCCTCTTCTTGCAGGCTTCGCACCGTGCCCGTGCCCGGGGCTTCTTCGACCACCGTCCCAACCGCTTCTGCTGTTGCTGCCTCGGGAACGGGGTTCGGCAACCGGGGAGAGGGTATTAGATTTTTTAACCACTTTTCACCAAGCACAAATTTTATAACTACTCTTTTTTGGGTAGCAACAGAATGCAATAGAGTCTCTTGTGACTCGAGGTGAAACGGACGTGTTTCTGTTTCCATCCCGCGGTGCCCGAAACGTAAACATGCTAAAACAGTTTTTATAGCTTAGTTATCGAAAATAATATTCTAAGTATCTGAATAATTGAAAGTAATTTTCAATCAAATAGTGGTGTTAACTAAAGAAAACTAAGTGATAACGAAATTATTATAGTTGATGGCCTCGGCAGTGCCATTGCCCCAGCCATAGTGACCGTCGCCAACATGGATCATATACATGAAGCTTCCGCATCAACAAATAATGTTCTCAGCAACAGTTAATCGAACAGAAAAACATAATACATACGTCAGCATCAGCAAAATACAACTACTTTGAACCAAAAATTATCGCAAATACCGCAGCATTTACAACGAATGCAGCCAATGGAGCAATCAAACCACCTGTAAGTCAAGACTGCTTTCAAAATAATACAATTTTTTGTGGAATTCTCAATTAAATACTGCAAAAGTTGTCAACTAATTCTAAAGATAAAGCAACAACTCTTGGGCAAAAGTTTTACGGTAATAGAAAATACCAAACGGTAAATTATTGGATGATCAGGACAGACGAAGTCCGGGCGCGAGGGAAGACTAATTCTTTCTTTCAATGTCGTGACTACGAACATATTTGAACTGCTACGTACATCAAGAAAATTTTGAAAGTAACATCACAACAACAGATCTAATACCGCAACATAAACCTCCGCCTATATTCATTCCAGGAGTAGAAGATATAACTGGAATGAAGAACATAATTCAGAGAAGTTCTAAAACAGAAGATTACTACTTACAAATTGCTTTATAATCAGCATGTAATAAATATGCCGGCAACATCCGATGCATTTCGCACCGGGTCGTCAGCCCTTGAAAACAAGAAATATATGTTTTCCTACATATCAGATGAAAGAAGATCGAGCATTCAGTAGTAAGTATTGAAATGATATTCATCCCCGTCAACAGATGTTGCAATGCTACACAAGAAGAAATAGACAAATCTTGGTCACAAGTTGTCCCAAATTTTTATATGCTAAATCATCGAGTTACCTAAGGCACCATTATCCATAATTTTTTGTTGAACCTAGAACAAGCCAACAACAATAAAAGTATTTATGAAATAAATCGGTCTTAACAACTGTATAAGGTTTCGTTCGGGAAGCCTGTTTCGCAAGAAGGAAGAAATAGTACGTGTAAAAACTGCTTGACTATGGTCACACTAAAGTTATTGCACGAAACAAAAGCGCTGCATGCGGTGCGGAGAAGGACACCGGATTGAAGATTGTGATAAAGCCAGAAAGATAGGCATGCAATGTGCGACGAATTGCGAGAGAAGATCACCGGTCCAACATATAAAGGTAATGTTATCATAATTATCAAACTTCCTTCAATAAGGAAAAGATTCCTGAACCACAAAATACATATGCAATCTAAAAAATCCGATAATGTCGTTCCATTCAGAAAAGGACTTTTACGCAAACATTTCTCAAGAAAACCAGTGCGAGACCCCAAACCTTTCTACAGTAATCACAATCTACGCGCGAACTTCTTTCTAACAAACACGCCGCCTGCGGAAAGTGAAACTTGAGAAACAATTGTACAGAATCGTTTCGCAAATTTTGAAAAACTCTCCTTAGTAAGCATAAGCGGAAGCAAATAAGCCACGCTAAATAAATCTCATGTCGATACTTCTAATCAACATGACGAAGGCCAGTTACTCATCACGCCTGGAATGGCCTCAAACGGGGTTCCCCTCGGAATCGAGAAGACGAGAAGTTCGAACTTTTTTCTTCATAATATATGAGGATAGATTATTATTAGTGTCCGAGAACGCACTTGACGAGCTAAGAGCCATATTAAATTTCCCGAAAGTTTACGATCGTATAATACAACAATCATTTTTAACCCCGAAGTTGAAATTGCCCCTTGGGCAGGCATGCCAGGCCTTGCATAAAAGGTTATAATTCTATAGGAAACCATGAAATAGAGCATATTGTGAAGAACATTTACAAAGAAAGTACAATCAGATCAATGACTTCGCATGGACCCTTAAGCATTTCAGCCGTGCTATTGTCCACGCTTAAAACATAAAATAAAAGTGAACGGATTTTCAAGAACTTTTTTTGAATCACTTGGAACATTTGATTCATCGTCGGTGGAGATTATAATGCCGATAAATCGAACTTGGGGTTCCAGACTAACAAACTAGAGGTGAGGGAGTTAAACAAAGCTATTATTCCAATGAATCTTGTCGTACCAACTGCAACAGGGCAACCTACTTAGCTGGCCAACAGTAACGTGCAAAATTCCAGATCTTATTGAATTTCTTTATTTTGGTGAAGGGCATGTTCTTCGCAATTTTTATACCAAACTGAAGGGCATCGCTTGATTCTCAGCTCGGCACCACACTCCTATTATCTTAAAATTAGGTACACATACGATCACTCCTCAAGAGAAAGACATTGAACCTTAACCCACACCTCAAGATAACTGACTGGATGAATTCCAGGGCTTATATACGAAGATAATTTTAATGGGGTTTCCGGTCTTCCACTGAAGAATAAAGAATGAAGTAGCTGAATGCAGTGGATTAACATTTTAACGAGATGTATACAAGACGCAGCATGGGCATTCACTGAAAATTTCCAACAATAAAAAGATAACAAAGTATACTTTCCAAGCACATCAAGGAAAAAGTTTGCATCAAAAGAGAAAACTAAATAAGAACCTACCAAAGAACACAAGACATCCACTAGGATAAAAGAAAACTGAACAGAGCAACTACAGATCTTAAATTGCACTTCCAAACTTTTGGAAGAATAACGAAATGAATTAAATATCTTAGGAATCTATTCCCCCTTTAAAGATCCGATTTTCATTGTGGAAGGCCACTAGAAGCCATTTAAAAGACTGGCATAACTCAACCAAATTCCTCCCTATAATTCCACTCGCAAAGAAGATGGGTTCTCTTGGCAAGAAGTAACGCGGTAGGAGTGCAAGATGCACTATGTGACACACCCCTTGCAAACGTATTCAGCCATTATCCATCACTGAACAGAAGCGGCACGTGAGTACGAGCATAATATATGAAAACTACCCTCTGCAACAATGTGCTGCCATTAAGGGCATTCACAACTTATGAAATAGAAAAAGCTATACAACATTACCGCCCCGAAAGCCGCGCAGGACATGTCAGACTTTAATAACCGGGCGATGTGTTGAAGAAATTAACCCCGCAAGAAGTAAGCAAAAATACTAATAACTTTCAATATTCAACCGCAGTATTAAGAATTGGACATTATCCTTCTCACATGGAAGGTAGCTGCAGATAATTCTTATACAAAAAAGCCGGTAAACCAACTCAATGACGTCTCTATCGTACACAGACCTATCAGTTTTACTAGCTCAAAATCTCGAAGGCTCACTAGAGAAGCTGCTTTTACAACGCTACAACGTCCACAGATAAATATGAAATAATCTTTATTAAACCCGCCAACTACCATTTGGGATTTTCAGAGAAATTTCCACACTCTACATCGAACAAGTGCATAGAATAGTAAACGAAATTAATAAAGGTTCTGGAAGAAAGCAAATACTGTTCAGCCCCGGCGTTCAATAGATGTCGCTCAAGCGTTTCGATAAGTGTGGCAGCACTGGCCTCTTATATAAAATTAAAAGATGCTTTTACATCAGAATTCTACATTATTTATAAAGGGTCATATCTCCTTGAAAGGTTTTTCCAGTAAAACAACAAGAAGGCTTACTCAAATTACACCGGTAAGTCTTGGTGGTGTCCACAAGGGAAGCGGTTCTGCGCGCCATTCTCTACACTATATATATATACACACACTAGGGCTTAGAATCTTCCATCATCCCTAACAACGTCGGCACATAACGCGGGTGACACAGGCGGGTAATAACCGAGTCATGAAGATCATGAAAGGCCCGTCTGAAGTGCTCCAGGAACACTTAAACAAAATTATCTAACTGAATTTAAAAAGATGGAAATCCGAGTGAATGAAAGGCAAAAGTCTAACGCCACGTAGACCTTCACCCCAATAGAAAGAATACATGTCCCCATCTAATAAAATTGAAAATGATAAACTAATACGCGAGCAAAGAAAGGCAGACAACGGTAAAATAGGATCTAGGGTAGCACACTAGATAGAGCGGGTTTAACGGTGGGAAAAAACAGTAAACATTATACCATCTAACAGAAAAGAACTAACGACTCAAGTTCAAAAGATGTTACTGGCTACTGGGACCGCAAAATCGGCTTTGTCACTCGCAAAAACAAAATATTGGCAGGGGTCGAGCCCCGCGGGGGGCGGGGTGGAGAGGGCCGTGGCGCTGGCAGGTGAGAGGCGAGCGCGCCGCCAAGAGGACGCTTCTCACGCCGGGAGATAATGCGCCGCCAGGGGCGGGGGAGCACCCGGCGCCACGAGGAGCACGTAAGGGGCAGGTGAAAGGCATTGTCAAGTAATCAGAAAACATTAAATATAGAGTACGTGAATATAAAGGAACTGGGGATATTATATCAAATGGAAGGCGAACACTCTTCAGGACAAGACGAGGTGTTTTGTCTATAAGCGCCTTCATGCAGAAAAAAAAGGTTCTAATAGTCAAGGGGAACGATAACGGGGAAAGTGATAGTTGAAAGTAGAAGAAAGGGAGTTATGTGATTTTTTTTAAAGTGAGAAACTTTCTGAAAGAGAACTTGAAGCACACACTAGGATACACTGAAAAGGAGTAATTAAAAACGGAACGCCCGAAAGTACATTGTGAAAATGTGAACCTCAGAACAGTCTCAGAGAAAGAGAGAGAGGGGAAGAGAGAGTGCGAGAGAGAGACATGCGGAGAGAGATGCATGGGGAGAGAGATACATGGGGAGAGATAGATAATGGGG